AATGGCGCTCTTAGGTTTTCTGATGGATTCGTCGACAACCTCTTCATAATTGTAGGTTCCGCTAAAATACAGCCACTCACTTCAAGTGTCAATCGTTTGGAAGAAGAAACGCTATACCATCGACTATTTTTAATTTCTCAGCTCATTATAATTGGCATTTAGGTATTTTGATTGCAAGTGTTTAGCAGTTTCATCAAACCAAATTCCATTGATGTGGTTCGTAATATAAATACTATTTCTTGTGCAATGGTAATTTCTTTCACATCTCTTCAACCTCCATAAGCGCTCCATGACAGATCTTACCTGCTTACTTCCTGTTTTCTCATAGGTTAATAATCACAATTCAGCGAGTTGTCTCTGATTGCCTTCTTCCGATAATTACGGTTGACAAAATACCACACCGAACCATGATTAGAAAATATTATGATACTTAGTACTCCAATTATACATCAAAAATTATATGGTACTTAAATTAAATCATAAAGACATATATATGTCAGACAGTTGAACTGACTGAAGGGAAGGTTACTTTTTGTGTCTAGACAGAGCACGAGAAAAGGGACTAAATTTGAGTCATCTGCAAAAATTAAACTATGACCGGTCATTATGAAAATGATTGAAAAAGGAGTAATCACAAACTGATTAGGTAGTTACAAATTTTCCACATTACAATTTCTTCTTTCTATTGACAAATTTGAGAATGACATGCTAGTCGATAATAGAGCAGCAAATTCACGAGCGGAACAAAACTAAAGGGAGTACTGATAAGTTGGTAAAGAACCGAAATATTGTTATACCTCAACTAAATGCTTTATTTTTCCAGTTTATAGTAATAAACGATTTAATTTAATTTCATTTCCATTTTATCAATTCGCAGGAAATTAGCACATTAATTCTGTTAATCCCACTACTAATACACTTATGAATACAGTTGCAAGTTAATTAGAAACATGCAAAGAGACACTTTGCGGATTTGATGAATTAAGTTCTGTTGAAAACTGAAAACAGGCACGCAACTCAACAGGTTTTCCACGTAATAGTTACCACTAATTGATAACATCAATTAGAAGTAACAAATTTACGTCTTATATGACCTTTTTTTGAAATATTATTTTAATATCGTAAATAATTTTATGTTAACTTAGTCACATTAAAGAGCTTAACGAATCAATCCCGGTTCAGGCTAAACTAACCTAACCATATATTAAAACTATAGTAGTCATAAGATCATTACAACGTTTTAACTCTCCCGAAATATCCCCTTTCCTATTACTTTTTACATATAAATGTATGTTTTAGTCAAATATTAAAGCTCCGCCGCTAGTATGTTTGACTAGGTCACCTTTAGGTCAAGAAGACTTAGTCAAAATCCAGACCAATTGTGTATTTCGATGTTTGCCCAACAATTTTTTATCTAATTCTAAGAGAGTCTGAATCATACAGTCTTACGTTGAAGCTTAGATTTAATTGGATTAGGAGAAGTTAGGTTAGGTTTTTTAAATTAAGGCATTGGATATAGTAGTATAAGCATCTAGCAAGGAGACATTAGAGATAGCGTTAAATAAAATGGAAGCGGTATTGAGAAAACAGTACTGTATGAAAATAAATAACAGTAAAACAAAAATACTGGTATGCAACGGAAGGAAATGTAGGGAAAGAGCGAATATAAAGATATGAGACGAAGAATTAGAAGAAGTGGCCGATTTTAAGTATCTAGGAAATCAGATAAGTCAGGTCGGAAGCAGTAGTAGGGATATAAAGCAGAGGATAGCGCAGGGTCGAGTCGCCTTCAATAGAAAGAAGTCACTTTTATGCTCGCGAACGGTTAATTTAGAAATTCGAAAAAGGTTGTTAAAGCTTTATGTTTGTACGGGTGCGAAGCATGTGCAGTGGTCGCGGCGGAAAAGAAAAGGTTAGAAGCGTTCGAAGTGTGGTGTTACAGACGAATGATGAGGATACCGTGGATAGAGAAGGTTAGAAATGGAGAGGTATTAGAAAGAGTAAGAGAACTGAGGACTCTATGGAAGTTGATAAGAAATGGGCGAGATAGGTTAGTAAGACAGCTTCTCAGGCATGAAGGTCTAGTCAGAGACATATTAGAGGCAGAAACAGGAGTTAGGAGGGGTAGAGATAGACCTGGATTAAATTATTGTTCGCAGATAGTTAAGGATATGGGTTGTTCTAGTTTTAGGGAAATGCGAAGATTAGCTCAGGATAGGACAGAGTGGAGGTACGTGTCCAACTAGTCTTAAGACTGACGACCTTATGATGAAGATGAAGGCATTGGACTAGAGAGGTGGGTGTCACATATTTATTGGTGTCTGACTGCGTTTATAGCATTCAACGAAGGAATTGTTCTTACACGCGTCAAATGGGCGTCCTATGCCAGTTGCCTCATAACTCGAAATGCCCCAACTAACTTAGTCAAGGTCAAAGCCGTCCACTATTTTCTTGAGGGAAGGAAAGTATTAGTGACCGGAAACAAACAACTGTATGAATAGGTGTCAATTTTTGGTCTCATCCTGTAGAATATCTTGCATTATGATTCTACGAATGAGGGCGATGGGTACAAAATACGCGGATGACCCAGCTGTAGTAAGAATGGGAGGGCGCTAAAGATCAATATAAGACACAGCCTAGAGGTCGTTAAAAGATGACTGTCAAATCACCATCTGCCGCTGGCTAAAGATTAGACGGTAGTATTACTGCAGGACGAGGGTAGGAACTGAGAGAGCTTAAGCAATGGGGGGAAGTTACATAAAAAGCACGGAGTCCTGAGTTACTTGAAGTTACTTATAACGAAGGACCTAAATATGTCTGCCCATTGTGATGTCGTTACAGAGAAAGCAAGAGCATAGATGCTAATGCTGCGAAGGCTTCTACAAACTGAAGAGGGTGTAACCATTGCCAAAGGAGGATGTAAATTGGAATTATGTACTCGACTATCCTATATGAGGACATAATGTGGTAGTTTCTACTGACGAGGAAGAAACGTGTCGTTATGCTCTTGGGATACCAGTGTAGGATGGCGCATCATATTTGTGGAGTATACAGATCAACTTTGACCGACACTGTCCGACACAGCCTTGGTAATCGCTGACATTCTTCCCGTGTATTGATTAGCATAAGACAGAAGCAAAAAGCACAAAGGCAGCTGGCGAAAGTGGTGACATAGTTCTACTAAGAGAAAATACCCATAATATTTCCTCATAAATGGAGACAGTTGACACACCATTTTACTAGGCAATTATTTACGGTTCACTGCTGACTTGTGCATCTGAGTTTCGGATAATCCAGAATATCTCTTTATTTATTTTAAATGGATGGAATTTCTGGTCCTTGGTTAAAGAACGGCTCTGGTATACGATGGAAATTGTGAGAGTGAAAGCAGTAGGAGAGAGGGTGGCTCAATCAATGACAAACAAGTGAATGTTATATCTTGTATTAAAATGTCAACGAAATAGGAAAGGTCTATACAAAATCTAAATGTAATTAACACTAATAACAGTAAATGTTCAGATGCTATGCCACACAAGTCTCGTTCCATGGTTTTCATATTTTCGCACTTTTAGTAATGTGAACAATGGCACGATGACTTTTTTGGTGTTTCTAAATTTTCTGCACATCATAAATAGACGCATATGCTTTCCATTTATCTCGTATATTAGCGAAATACTGGTTTCGAAGAAACCGAACCTTTCGGCTCAAAAAACTATTCTTTAATGAACGTACAGTACCGAGATTTTTAAATTTATGCGCATGGCAGATGTACCCGTGATCTACTAGAGTAAATGGACACTACTTCGGAACTACTATTAAGTACACTTCGTTTAGTTTCTCTAGCTATGTGACCTTTAGTTTGACTGGCGCAAAGTAGAAAAGAACAGCACTAGGCAAGAAAAGAAAGGAGACAACTCTCGGCCGAACTCTCAACCGGTGAGGAGCGTATAATCCGTACAGTACTGCACCAAAAAATTGACCATTTTATCCACTAAAATTGCATTGTTCAAATGTGTTGTTATTGGTACCGATTGCTACTGAAAATATCAACAAGATGTTTATTTATATTTGAAGACATATTAAAGGCTTTAACGCTTATTTTCTACTCGCTCCACTTTTCATTATTGAATAAAACTTTTGGCATTTTCTTTGGATTTTACCAGTGCGTATACAGACATTGAAGGGGCACATCGCTAGAGAAAGTAAACGAAGTGTAGAAATAAAGATTGAAAATTCCGTAGTTATTTTTTAGGCATATAGGTATACTTAAACCTTAAAAGGTCTTTGGTCTTTAACGTTTTTCTAAATTCTGAAATCATAATTTTCAGTTTTCTTTTTTATTTTCAAATATATACTATGTATGTCGTTGATTTATTTATTATTATTCTAATACACGAGCTTAGGGGGACAGGCACCTTATAGCGATAACCGAAAATATCTGTATATAAGCCTGGTTAACTAACAATTTTTATGACTTCAATAAGCACTGGAAAGGAATGGCAGTGGATGACGACGTACTAACGTAATCATTATAATATATAGACGTGCTTATATGAAGCATATTAGTTTTGGTCGCTGATTTATTACAACCGCCTGTGGCGCCCCGGTGAAGTCAAGTAAGATCAAAATCGCAATCCACGTCAAGTAGTTTCGATAAATCAACTGATTAAGAACATAATATTGATTAGAACGAATTTTCTCTTAAACAAAATCTTAACACATTTTACAACTTTTTTATATAATAGTTTTAACTATTTATATGGTATTATTACACGATTCAAACGTTTAAATCATGTCGTACAATGTGGAGTCTCCAAGTTTAAACAAAAGAAATTTCACATCATTTATATCAACTCACGATACCTGTAACTGTTTGTATTCGAAAATAAATAAATAACCAGTATATTCTCCAATAAAATGCAACTTCTTAATAATTTATTAAACATTATTTAATATTATTCAATTGTTGAATTAAATTACCATACTGCATTTCCTTTTAGGCCCGAATCAACGTCATAATCAACTTCAAGGGGAGTCCTGGCTTCATGAATAATCTGGAATCAACCGAAGCTGCACATATGGAAAGACATAATCCATTACTTTTTCCGCGCCGGGAAATTAAAATATTCAGGTATGTGGTTCAGGTAATATCAGAACTTTCAGCTTTGTTTTAATACATATATACGTATCTTCATTATTAATAATAAAAATGTAACACACAATACAATAACGATAATCTAATGGATTTCCATACAACCAATGTGCATCATTTTTATTTAGAATAATTTTTGTTTTCAATATAACGTCTGTTATCTATATTATCAAAGATGATCAGGTTATTTCGTCAGTCCAACATAGGGTATTGTCTAAATTCAAAGTTGGCCTTATATTGAACCTACATTTATTATCATTAATGTGATACTTGTTTCGTCTGATGACATTTACTTATTTCTATGGATGTTCGAAATTCGCGTACACGACAGGTAGCTAAAGAACTGTTTTATACATCGACTTAGATCAAACTTTAATATCATGTTTATTCAATAAAAAAATACTTTTTTCACAGTTTTTGAGTCATTTGGCTCGGGAGGCATTTAGCCCGGGGTGCATTTGCATTTTTTGAGCCAGAGAGACTGAATGAGATCGGGCATATTGTTGCACTTTCAGTGGAAAAAACCTAGACACAACGATGTCTTTCTAATTCAATAAAATGACTAAAGACTAGGCCAAATAATTCGTTAAAAGTAGCGACCACTGGCTTCTTAAAGTATCGTCTGGTGTTAGTCACATGTGGTTTCTGTTGGTAATCGATATAAGCTGCTCGTAGCCACTTCTAGTAGCAACCTCAACGATACAATATTGTAACAAAAAAAATATGAAAACTGAATATTTTTTTAAAGCGTAAAAATCACGTACACTAATTATATACGTACTACACTTTATGAAATTCATTATTACTATCGTTGATAAGGTGAAATGATTCTTTATTGTCTTGACTCTATGCAGTATTCACCGTTTTCTTGTTTAACGGAATGGTATGCAAAACAAATTCGTGCATTTGTATGCTCGTAATTTTCTCATTTAAAGGCTAGTTCGTTGAGCCCTAACCAAGATTAAGTTGCGCTTTAGCATGTTATCTACAAGAGGACAAAACGCTCGTTAATTGACCGAATCTGGAACAGGAAATNTAAGATAGATAAAGCTTTGTTCTAAAGCCTGTCGAAGGCTATTTTAAATTTTTTAATTTCTATTGAAAATACGTGTCCTACAAGAAGCATCAACTTTAAGCACTTGTAAAAGCTTTTAATGACCATATTATTGAAACCAAAAAACGTACCGAGTTAGTATGAACCTGTATTTGTTACCATACAAAAAATCACATATTTATCTCGCAGCGTTAAATCAAAATGTTTAGAATAGAAATCCATGTTTTCGGAAAAATTCAGACTAAGCACGAGCGGTCTATTGCGGTCAATTCTCTTAATAAATGACACCGAATCTTTTTCTGTTTACCGATTCCATCCGCGAATAATGAAATTTTAACCGAGAATACAGGAACTGGGTTGCAACTTTTTCACCCGCGAATAATGAAAACGCGAATAAGGAAACCGTGAATAAGAAACTTTTACTGTACTGCAAAACATTATTCTACTAATAAACGAAAACTAAGCTCGGGCTGTATTTCTTTCTTTTAAACGGTCTAAAAGCGAAGACAGTATCGTTAACACAATCAATACAATCTGTGGAACAAAACCAAATGTTTTTTCTTATTTATTATTTAGAATCATTGTATTAAAATGTCTACAGAGAACAGAAATTGCTATACAGTTTTGTCTGTCTTCAGCACTAAACATAATAATATAATGACAAGCTTTTTTTTGTTTTAGAACGGCTGCACCATTAGCAAGGGTAGCGCAACCAGATGAAATAAAGGCCAAAACTTTCAACATGAGTGAAGCTAATTTTTCTGTCAAAAATGATTCTTCAGGAGGAGGATTTCACATAACCAATGGTCATGGAATAATTTTTGTCGAAAATACTTCTCTAATTAGAAATAGTTCTTCCCCGATCAGGTATGCTCATCCATGACAAACTGACTATTAAGTAATAAGTAATCAGAACAGTACACCTTTTTATATCCACCTGACAAAATGAATGTTTAACCAATTTTTTAATATAGTGTTTTTCTTTGCAAAGGATTAACATGACATATTTTTATATTATCCAGTTGATAATAATAATAAGAGGTGTTTCTGAAACAGACAGCAAGCTTTAGAGTGTGTTAACTATATGCAACACGGAATAGCATGGCGTGATTAAGGAACAAAAATAGTCATAAGAAAACCAGAAGTTGAAATCCGAAGCCGGTTCTGGGCGTAAATTGACGATGTACAGAGAAAATTACGATTGCAACCAAGTAGCTACATCGACGGAGAATGTAAACAATGACGGTTACGTTGTGTAAAGTGAATATATTAATAGCATGCTGCCACGCTACCACATTAATACTATTTAGGCATCCATTGCGATAAAAGTTGATTAAATAACTAACTTATCCGTCGATAGTATCAATACTACTTGAAATACACGTTAACATAATATTAAGACCATATTAAATTGTAATTTTATTAGATTTCCAAACCACTATTGAAGAAGTGCCAAAGTACGTTAATTTTTCTTTTATGAGTAATTTGTCAGTAACCCTATCCTCCCATTAAGAAAAATTGTTTACAACATTAGTAAACACACACGTACACACATACATACCTACGTAAACTACAAAAGTTTGTCTGAGTCCCGCGAAAACGTCCGGCATTTGACTTACTTCATTTGCAACTATTATACACGGTCGTGCAAACCATGAGCCCTCTTCGCTGACGTTTAATACACATGCTATTTCATAAAACCCTTTACAAACAAGTCAAGAGAATTTAGGTCAATACTACACCCCGACCAAGGTACAACATCTATATATTCAAACCAGGGTCTAGGAAACTGCGTCTAGAAACTCACACATTGGTCAATGCAATGATACTATTCCACACTGACACCTACACCCTGTCTATAATACAATACATACAAGCCAACAACGTTAAAAGAACAAAGAACTACTCTAGGTTTTAACATAAACGTCGTCAATCACGCTTAATCTAATCTAATAAGTAAAAAAAGGGGGAGCGTGTATTAGTGCATAAGCGACAAGAACTCCTGTTGATACGTTAGTTCAAGCTGTGGAGTACCATGTCGCCAGAGGAAAGATATAGCGCGTTAGATAGATGGATGGACTGACGATAAGCTGGAAGAGATTATTGGCCGGTTACTAAAGTCATCAGGAAGTTGAAACCAAGAATGTGCTAGAAATATAAGAAGTTGAGTCATGTATGAAGCGCTTACAATAGCGAGGAGACTACTCAAGAGTGCACATGTTATGCATTCAGGAAAACTATATTAGTCAGAGGCGACGCGGCGGGGAAAACATCGATCCTAAAATAGGAAGCCTAAGGTTTAATTGAACTGACAAAAACGATGAAAGACTGAGTTGTGGTGGATACTCGAACAAGTAGAATAATTTATTATAAAACCCAGAAATTTGACCATGTCTAGCAATCTTATGTTAATCCAATGCAAGCTATAAATATACCGTCATTGGAGACTTAGTAGTTGTTTACCATGCAAGTTGAAATAAAGATATGAAAAATTTCTTTTTAATACTAATTTTTAATATGGACTGGAAATATGATTTTTGTCTGAGTTTGAGGTTTGACATTGAATGAGCAAAAATTCGAACCGCATGTGTAAGATACTGATATGCCACAAACTAAATTGATGAACGCGGAAACTGGAAAATTTGAAACAGATCCCTGAAGCTTTCTTGGAAGTCTTCGAGGAAGTCAGCGACAAAGATCATCCAACTGAGCAACGGCAACTAATAGGATTACTCGCACAATTCTAAGACGTGTTCGAATTAGAGAACGGCAAGAAGGGGTAAATCAACGTCGTTATCCACAAGATAAACACCGGCGGAGCGCAATCCTTACGGTACATCAAGAAAACTGCCACTGGCCAAGAAGGGAGAGTTCGCCGGTGGAGACGTCGTCAGTAGTTTCAGACAATCAAAAAAATCGGTCGATACGTTTCTGTGCGGAGTACCGCCAGCTGAATAATGTAACGAAGAACATTTGTTTAATCGACGATATTCTCAACCTTAGACCTTATAAGTGGATTTGGATCCTAAAGCCAAACAGAAGATAATATTCACCACCTGAACAAGATGTAGCAATTTAAAGTGATTCGAACGACCCAAGGAGACCGCTTAGCTGGATGAATTTGCTTAGTATAGAAAACAGGATAATGAAAATAAATACTTCATGGTGATTATGGATTATATCAAATGGATGCAGAACCGTTGGGATTCTATTCTAATCGGGGCCGAAACTTCGAGTTCACCGTATTCCAGGACGTTTAGAAGATATTGGATATTCACAAAACCCGGACTACACCTCTGAACCCGTAATAAGATGGAAGGGTAGAGCGAATGAATTGGAACATTAACAAGTACTTGTCCAAGATGGTCTAAAAACATCAGAGAGTGAGATTGTTATTTGCCATTGTTTCTTACGGCAAATCGATCGTATGTCCACGAAACTACTGGTCAGACACCATTAAAAGTATTTCTTAACGGGAGTTTTTCTTGTTTTCGTGGTAGAGCGGAAATCTTCATAGACATTCAGTCGTCTGTAGGACTGGAAAGTGCCACATTACCGAAGGCTTACGGACTTACAGACAACAACCCCTCGACCTTAGACCGTTCTAAGTCTGTTTGGCTCGGCTCTCTTCAGTGGTAGCTGCCACCATGTAATTTAAAGTTTGACTGTAAACCTGGCAGGGATGTTGCCAGAGAAAATTATGTTAGTGAACTTCGAAAGCGAGTTGACGTTGTCTACGAAATGGTACGTTCCCAAAAATGGTTGGTGACATGCACAGTTAACACTTATGACACAAGGATCACTGCTGGAGGTTTCCAAGAAGGAGGCCTGGTAAGGATATAAAATCCACAGCATTAGAGTTGTCTATTACTGAAGCTGCAATAGCAATGGGAAAGTCCATAGAAAATTGTCCAGACAATAAATGATGTCATCTATCAAATTGGATGTGCACCGAATAGGAAACTGAAAATTGTCCACTTTGAGCAATTAGTTCCGTACGCTGGGGACAGTCACGAAAATGCTTGTACCAGAATTATGCCAGCTCGATTTCTAGTGTTCTTCTAAGTGTGGTTTGAAGTTTCTACTAAACTGTCCATTATAGATATAATGGAGGTACCTACAGGTTGGTTTACAATCGTCGGAGCACTTCTGTTTGTTTATTTTAATCCTTGTTACTTTTTATTTACTTTTTTAACAAATGATTTATTATATAAGCCATATCGAGATCATATTGTTAAAAATATATTTTATTAGCTACAAAACCTAAATAAATTTTAAATTTATTATCCTTATTATTTGGCATTTCGCAAAACAATTGTAACATGAACTAAATAAATTATGGAAATAGTCGAAAGTTGTAATTTGTTATATTTTATATACCCGCCTTTTATGTAACGTATATCGTTACAGCAGTAATAGTAACAAAAGCACTTGAAAATCATACAACAATTATACCACGTTGAAATATCTATGATATCTATAATAAGACACGTTTACACGTTCCTAAATGACTTAAATGACTCACAAGCTGACATTAATTCTCGTTCACTTAACTGACATATTAACTACTTACCTACACGTAACATACAATAAAAGCTGTATATTCTATCCCTGTATTTACTCAGATTTATTAGATGCGTAACTTCTTGTATCCAACATCACACAGTCTTATTCTCACAATATTACGTGGAAAAAGTTAACGTAATAGAAGTCATACTAATGAAAACAGCTAGGTTCATTTATTGTACTTAACACTTTTTTTCTCTATCTTGTGGCTTTTTCGTAAGTACTTACATATTTCTCTTAATAAACGCTAGTTGTTTGAAGGGGTATGTATGTATCTATGCTTTTAAGTTTTTCAAACGTTTAATAATTTTCATTTTGTGATGGAGGAAAAAATGCACTTTTTGTTCTGAAACTATATTCGCAAATTTATCATTTCTTTGGAAAATTATTTTTCTACATTTTAGTGCGCCTCGATAAAAAGCATCTTTGAATAAAAAAAAAACACAACGTATAATTATACAACACGCTCCTGAAGTGAAGCTCCTTCAAACACACAAACATACCGGAAAAGAGGTTAAGGAATTGGTTTAATGGTATTATTTGTACACTATGCTTCGCACGGGTGCAATGCTGATAGTAAATATACTATAGAATGTCTTTATATACAACAATCACAGCTTTTTTGTCATTAGACAATACAAACCGGCCGGTACCGCCGCAACCGCTATGTCCCTGCATTTTAAGTCTCTAATATCTTCGAAAATATTCATTTAAATTACATGCTGTAAAGGGCCATATTGATCTATATTAAATGCACAATGTATTTAAAAGTACTCAATTGGATAAGAATTATTGCTGTATTGCTTAAAATCGCTTCGTAAATAAGCCATTATTTCTCGTAAAAAGTAAAAGATAGAAAATAGTTATTGTGGGTTATCCCTAAGAAATAGACATATACCATCCCGGACTTTCTTGTAGACCTTTTTAAGGTGTACAATACTGAAGTATATTATTTTGATCTTTCTCGTAGGGTTCAGTCAGCGTTTGCAATGTAAGCGCAAAAAAGTGTTTATTTACGACATCACATTACAAACCTCTAAAACTATCAGTGTTTCTCTACTATATTAGGCATGTATTATACATATAAACCATCCTCTTGAATTGCTCTATCTATTAAAAAAGACTGCATTAAAATCCGTTCAGTAGTTTCAAAGATCTAAGCATACATAGGGACAGACAACGGGGGAAATGCGTTGAATGATTTCGTTACATACCAACTCGCATGAAACGCACTGTTAAGACAGCAGGTAAAAGTTGGTCTGTGTTCTGTCGGGCTGCCTGCGACGCGCTGATGAGATCCAAAAAGATCGAAATCGCGATCCGCGTCTGGCAGTTTCGACAGAATACAGACCACTTTCAATTATTTTATTCGATTATGGTAACGTGCCTATCACGTTGAGGTTGGC